CATTGTTCTGGAAAAGTTTGGATTCTAAGGAAGTGTAATTCACACACAGTCCTTTGGACAGTGATAAGCTAAGATGAGAAGGTTGGTTTAAGGTTGAGACATCCACTAGCTGTTGATTCTAGAGTTCGGGGTGGTGGTCCGTAGAGATGTAAATTTTGGAGTAGTATTAAATATGCATTTAATACTTATTTAATATGCATGTTGATCGTATTAAAGCTGTGAGCTGTGTTGACACCAGCTATAGGGTAAAAGTAAACAGCAGAGCTCTGAGTTCTGCAGCCTGCTCTTGTGTATCATCTCGAGATCAGCTCCATGGGGAGGAAATGACAGAGCACACGTCAAGAAGCAGGGATGGGGCTGGCGAGATGACTCAGAGGTTGAGAGCTCTGACTGCTCTTCCAGAAAACTGGGGTTCGATTCCCAGAACCCACTTGGCAGCTCACAACTGTCTGTAACTCTAATCTGACACTCTCACACAGATAGACATACATGCAGGCAAAACACCAGTGCACATATAATAAAAATAGATAAGTTCTTTTTAAAAAGAAGTAGGGAAAGAGGTAGGCAGATAGCTGAGAGGGAGCAGAAGCTCAGAAACCAAGCACCCAGTGTTCTAAGAAGAAATTGGTATGTAGGGTGAGGCCTGCAAATTGATTATTGGATTTAGAAATGAAAAGGTTATTTGTGACTTTGATGGGAACAGTTGTAATGGAGGAAAAGGAACCCAATCTAAATGGGTTTAAGAGAAAGCAGGAAAAGATATTTTGAGTAAAGAGAATAAACTAGAGTGTCTACTAAAAAAATATGTGAGTCATATGTCTTATTATTTCAGGTGTTCATAACCACACTAAAAATAGGTAAGACAAACAGGTGGAATTAATATTAAAAATATAACTTATTGTACCTAGCTTATCCAAAAGCTATCGTTCAAATATAACTAATGTTAAATTATGACTGGAATAGTTTAGTATATATTCTTTACTATCCAGTGTCTATACGAGGTGCACAGCTCAATTCAAACTAGTTACATTTGAAGCTCTGAATGACACGTGGCTAGTAACTACCACATTGGCACGGTCAGATATAGCCAATTCCATCTTTGTTGTAAAGGAGAGCCATGCAGTTACTGGGAACTCTAGGGAGTTGTCAGGTATCTGTTTTTAGATGAGAGCAATCTCTGTATATTTTGTTTGTTTTCATGGTCACAGGAATAAAACCTCATGGAGTGGTGGGTAGATGAGGGAATCACATCAGGGTCGCAGAGGAAAGTTTGGCCCAGACTAAGACCCTCTCTTTACAGCTCTTCTGTGTTGCAGAGATGAAGGCAGAGCAGGCCAGGCAAGTGTGAATCTGTGCTGGTCTGGAGGCTCAGGATGTCTTGAGTAATTCCCTTCTTGGACGTGAAGTGCGAAGTGACACCCGGGTCACCGTTTGACAGCGAGGCTGGGAGGAAAGGATTAAAGGTTTGTGAAGAGAGGAGAAGATATTAAATTGTGACCTGAGAAAGCAGAGAGTGAATAGTCAGGGGGATATAGTGTGATTGTCTGGCGACATGAAAGATGTACCTCAGATCTGTGAACACAAACGGGACATGAGAATAGTCAGCGCCGCCGTTGCCCCTCTGCCGTGTTAAGCTGTGTAGGGACAGGGAGGAGGAGGAGGAGGAGGAGGAGGAGGAGGAGGAGGAGGAGGAGGAGGAGGAGGAGGAGGAGATTTAGCCAGGGCAGAGGACTTTTTGTCTCTTTTTTTTTTCTCATAGTGAGAACAGACAAAGGTGTCAGCAAAGGAAAATCAGAATAACAGGGCATGGGATTTAAGAAAGGGAGGGAGACTGTTGAGTGAAAAGATGGCAGGACGGGTGAAGGGATCACAGGTTCTATTTGTGTCAAAGGCCAGATTGGGTCACGGTTGGAAGAAGTGAGCAGCAAAGGTACTAATGATGGCTAAGTGTGTGTGTGTGTGTGGGGGGGTGCTTGTCTTTGAGATTAGAGAGAGGCTGTAACTGTTCCTCATCACAGGGCCTCAGGTTCGACCATGACAGCGAATGGACAAAGTCTAGTAATAGGGACAAGACCATGGAACTGAGTGGATCTTGGAAGATTCTTTCAGGGACATGTGGCAATGAGCAAGGCATAGGACGGGGATGGTTTTGGAGAGAGTACCAGGTATCAATATTTTCAGAGCAAAAGGGCCATCATCTCTAGTTGACAGCCAAAGGGGAGAATGCTGTGCAGGCCACTGGTGGTTGTGGGGCTTTGCCGCGAAGGGAGAGTCAGCAGACTGGGAGAACAATGGAGAAAAAGCAAGCGCTGCCTACCTAACATGGTTCCGTGGAGTTAAAGAGGGCTTTCGAGGGCTCCTGAGGCGGCAGAGGATGGGTAGGGAGAGGTTTGTGGGTACGAGCAGGGTTGAATCAGGTGTGGTGCTGTTTTCACCTATAATCACCACCCCTGAGAGGCCAAGGCAGGGGCATTTCTGAAAGTTTGAGATAGGCCTTGACTACAAGACCCTGTCTCAAAACCAAAACAAAACGTAAAAGAAAACAACAGGAGTCCTTCCAAGAAGAGACTGAGAAGGTACGGGGTTGGCTGATCATTTCTATGTGGTTTTATATTCTGACGCCTTTTCTTAGAATTCACTTCCTTACTTTGGTTAGCAGAAAAATGTCTTCTGACAATTGGCTCTTTCATAGCTCCTTCGCTGAAATTGCCCTAGCAGAGAGTCCCAGCGGCCAGCGCATTTCTAAACTCTGAAATGTTCGTTCGTCTTGGCTTTGCTGTGCCACCCCTACAAGAGGAGGCTCTCCCCACCAGAATTTTCTGTGGTCATGGGAGTGCTTTCTGTCCACACCATCTAATATGGCAGTCACTCGGCACGTGTGACTGTTGAGCACTTGAGATGTGGCTCACATAAGTGGGGAAACATTGTTGGTTAAATGCATTCCAATAATGCTGCTGCATGTGACTAGTGGCCAGTACCAAAGATAGAGTGCTTAGCATTGCTTGCTGGTCCTTCTTTGTGCTCTCTCCCAGGTCTAGGACAGCACCTCTCGTCTAACCCTGTGGCTGTCTCTGGAGTTTGCTCATCCCACTCATCTTCTAATAGGTCTCTCTTTTCTTCTAACCACCTAAATATTGCTGTTTTCCAGCCCCCCACTGTTAGAACTATAACCTCATTTTGTGGACTCTTCTTTGTCAGTTTTAGCCACACACCAAGCTGTGTTCCCAAAGCATTTTCCTCTCCTGAAATCTATACCTGGGCAGCCATTACCCAATGGAGGCATCTGCTGGTACGCCTTCCAGTACTGTGTCCCAACCCGAGCTCATCTCTCCCCTAAACCTCCTGCCAGTTCCTGAAGACATGGACCCGGAAGTTCCTGTAGACAGTTCTCCTTTATGTCTGGCAAAGGGCCAAGCCATCTGCGTCGTGACAACAGCACCTGAGTTCTCCTTCCCTCTGGCCCATTATCTGTCCTCCCGCTGGAGCCATCCAGCTGGCTAGAACACAGATCTCACCTTTTAATCTCCTAACACCTTTCAGTGGCCTCTCATTGGATAGAGGATAAAGGCCAAGTTCTCTGGCCAGGATAACAAGGCTCTTCCTTTTTCAGGTCCTGTTTTCTTGTCGCTCCAGCCACCTACTGACCCACAACCCCTCTTGCGTTCCTTTGCTCTCCTGTAACAGGGAACTGCACGTACTTGCATATAGACAACAGGCCACTGACACCCTTATACCTCTTTTCTGGCTCTACCTTCTGCCTAGAATGTTCCTTCAGTCACGTCTTACCCCAGCTGCTTCCTGTTGTTCAAATCTCCTGAACTGTGACCATCTCCAGTGCCTTCCCTTCCTCAGTGTCCCCAGTGCCGACATGTTCCCTTCACTCTGTCTGCTCTTCCTTCGTTTGTCAACTTCAGTTTGTCAACTGCAGCAGATTGGATCCCCGCTCTTGCCATGGAGTGCAACGTGCATCAGAGCTGTTGAATGAGTGGGTAGCATGGCTAAGTCAGTGACCTGAAGGAAACAGAAAGATGGGATAATAGCAGGCTACCCTACCCAGCATTGAGTACTTGGTTTCATCCTTCCTGAGTGAGAGTGTAGCAGAAGAGAAAGATCCCTTGTGGGGGGCCTCTGGGGGTCTTTGCTACTGCTGGAGCAATTGCCTTGGTTCCCAGTACTCCTACGGCTTCCTTCTGGCAGAAATCAATTTTCCAGAAACTATCATCTTGGTTTCCCCCTACCTTCACTGATGACACACTTCTATCCTCCTGGGATAGAAAATGCTAGCAGAAAAATGTCACATACTTTCTTAAAGTAGTAAAAAAAAAAAAAAAAAAAAAAGCATTTTATGATGTGTTGAATTTTCCTGAATGTGATTCAGTTTCTGTTTTTCTTTTGAGAAAACTGGTTTTTCACTAGGATTATCCCAAGGGCCACATCCAGGTATCCAACAAAGTATTATGTGGGTTTGCATATAATTTGCATGTATTCCTATGGGCCGTGTTAGCAGTGCATAGGGTGCTTTCGACTGTGGTTTTGGAAGGAAATGGAACATTGGATCCTGTTTGCCACAGGCAGGATCCTGTTTGCCACAGGCAGTCTCTCCCCCGCAGGGGAGGTGGCCATTTCTCCAGAATGCCCCTCCTCTTCCTGTCTGTTTATGAGTTTGGAGGCCTGAGATCCCTGGGGTGAAAATAGCTCCTTGCTAGGCAGCTGCTGGATCTGCTTTCTGTAATGCCTTCTGCCACTCCTCCGCCCTGAGCGGTGGACACTGCCTGCAGTTCCTACACAGGAAAACAACTTTAAAGGAAGTGTGATTTGCTCAGGGTCACTCCCACGGGGAACATGGGGCTGTCTGACTCCCCCTCCTTTGTTTTTAAGCTACTACATTGTATTTTCTTTTATGTCTGTGTTGTTTGATGTTCTGCCTTTTATACTTGGTGTTGCTCATCCGGGACTGGTTTCTTCATGCATGGACAATCCGGTCGCCATTTGACTGGCAGTGGACTCTTACACAATATTGAGGTATTGGAGTTTACTTAACCTATCTCCCTAGTTGGTTTGTTTCCAGTTTCTCAACATTATAGAGAAAACAAGCCTAAATATTTTGGTGCAGATAAGGGTGGCTTGGGAGCTCTATAGGTGTTTGAAGATTGTCTTCCCAGTGCTAGCATTGACTTAATCTCCCTTTTATGATCTCTCACAAGTCTCTGCCACCACTTCGGCCATGCAGTGAGCCTTTGAGTAGCCACCGTTCATCCAGGACTGAGGGAAAAGCGGAGCAACAGGCAGTCTGGTTGAGGGAGCTGATGCAATAGGGAAGGGATGGGGCTTTGCAAAGGGTCAGTGAGCACACTGAAAACCATGTCCCCTGATAGTATCTCAGTGTTCCTTTCTCCTAGAACACAGAGCACAACACGGGAGAAGCACAGGGAAGGGACAACTGTCCTGTGTGTGAATCCTTGTCCCCTTCTTCCCTAGGACTGTGGCTGCTGAGCTGACTCCTGGGTGAGGACACACACGTGTTCAAGTCCATTCCTGTACCACACTTGGCGTCTGAGGCATGTCACTGCCGCTCAGCTGCATTGGGGCAGGGGCTGTTGAGCAGAAGTCAGAGGGAAGAAAAGAATAGTTTTCCAGAAGAGTGCGTAACTTCCTGTGCACCTGTCAGCCTTCCAGGTCTCTTCTTTCTCGGTGTGCCCTCGGAAACTGAGGCAACAGTGTGGTGCCCAGGCCATCCTCATTTATCAGACTGACCAGTGCCCACACTCTCAGTATTATTGCTCAACATTTTATCAGCCAAGCACTGTGGGGGGGCATTTGGGGAGACATACAAGGTTCTTGACTTGGTGGAACATTGGGACAAAGGTGTGTCCAACACACAGGCTGAATGTGGCTCAAGATAGCTCTAAATATAGCCCAGCGTGCGATCCTAAAGCACAGATGTGTCAACATGTCCAGGACGCACTTCACAGGTAGCCCCCGACTTCAGTCACCCTACTTTGTTCCTTCTGCCTACTCCCCATTCTTGCACTTGTTCCTCGGTATCTTGCTTTCGGGTCTCATTTTTCTCTCACTGTGTACGCGTTTCCATGACTTTGTTTCTCCTCTGTGCTGACGTCACCCATCCTTGTATGCTCACCTTATCCTCTTCATGGAGTCTGTGGCTCATGTCATAAAAATAACAAGCACTTGTGAAATCCCTGGGACCATGCGATAACTGTGTCATCTCCTCTGACCAACAGCTCTGTGCATGAGGTGGTGCCTGTTCCATTATACAGATGAGTAAAACTGAGTTGAGGAGATACTGCGATTTGGCCAAAGCTCTGAAATTCATAATTGATAGAAGCAGGGTTTGAATAGTTGCCCCTTCTAGGCTCTGGCATCTAGTGTCCCCCATCATGCCTTAGAGTATATGCAGTCCCTGCAGGAATGTTTACATGTGGACATTTCATAGACACAGATGCTCTGTTTTCAACATGTCTAAAATGGCCTTCATCATTTCCTTACCCTTGCTTCAATCTGCTGTTGCCTCTTTTTTCCATCGCAATAAATGGCATCATCAATCCCGTGGTGGCCAAGCTATTAATACAACTCTGAGAGTCCCTCCTATCCTTCTTCTCCCCCAACCCCACCCTCCTGCCTTGTACCACATCCTTCTGATTTTCACTTCTCTCTTAATTTTCTGCCTTGCCGCTTTTACCTCCAAAAACTATCTTGCTCTGGGCTCCTGGAGAGTCCCCTTGGCAGTACCACTGACTTTACTCTGACCCTTGTACCCTAATCTGAGTGACCAGCGCTCACATTCCTCAAATGCCCTGCAGCTTTTGGTGGCTCTGTAGCGGAGCACATAGATGCCCTCCCAGGGACTGAAATCCATCTGGAATACATGTTTTGCTTGGCCCATTGAGCATTCTAAAACATTTTGAATAGTTGCCTGCATTTAAAAATCAGGACATTCCACATAAAGTTTCATGTTTCTGGCTTTCTTTTGAAAAAGCAAGAAGCAGGCACCTCTTGAGCCATGGTCTAGCAATGCAGCAGATGGCAGAGTTAAGTGGTAACTAAGCTCTTTAGAAAGGGCGTGGTCTATTTACCAGGCTCGCATATTCCTGAGTATCTCTTGGTCCTAGTCCTGCTTCTGCATCCTAGCATCTTTGTGAGACAAGACACATTTGGCCTTGCGGTTCTGTTGGACACATGGTACCCAAAGCCCCAAGCATAGCTCCTTGAGGCTCACATGGCTCAGCCTGAGGCAGACCAGCTTTGCTAACCACTTCCTCACTACCTCCATTGGACTCTCCCTGTAACTCTACTGAATTATTTCATTATTATTGTTACGGCGATTATCATTCTGTGTGTGTGCATGTGAGAGAGATGTGTATGTGTAAGTGTGGGCATACATGTGCCACAACATGCATGCGGCATTAGAGGGCAGCTTCTGGAAATTGATTCTCTTGTTCCACCTTGTTTTGAGGAAGGATGTCTCTTGTTTATGCTGGGCTGCGTTCTTTGGGTCACCTGGACCACAACCTTCTGGGGGATCATTCTGTGCCTTCTTCCCATCTCACCATAGGAGTGTTGGGATTACAGATGTGCCCCATCACTTCTGGCATTTCCACTTGGGTCCCAGGGTCAGGTCATCAGGCTAGAACAATGCTCAGGTTTACCTGTTGAGCCTTCACCACCCAGCCCCCACGGCTGCCACTGACCTCTTACCTGCATAGCTCTGAATGGCCAGCCTTATGTGTCTGCCTGCGTGCAGGTTGAAAGGCCTAGGGCCCTCCTGAAGTCCCATCCGTTTCTCAGGACTCTACTCCAATGCTGCCTCTATCAAGAAACCTTCCTTACCCCACCTCCACCCCCAGTCCCAGGCTGAGTTTTGTCTTCCCATAGCAGGAAGTACCAGGAAGTATGGCTTTCAGTCACCCTGCCCCCAGCTTGCTATATTGTCTTTGTTGCCTGTATTTCTCAAACTGTAGGGACCTTGTCTTATTCCAAAAGCTACAAGGTACAAACAACCATTGGACAAAGGGCAGAATCAATGAAAAGCTGACCTGGGTAAACAGTACTATACTTTGTGGGTGGGGGGTGGGAAGGTGTTTTTCAGGTTCTTTTCTGAAGCACCCCTGCCAAGTGCCCAAACAGAGAGATACTCCAAGTCTCCTGTCTACCATGTTCCTGCTCTGTAAGCTCTGAAATACATCCAAACCTACAAAGAAGGGAGTTCACAGCAGCAATAGAAGAGGCAAGACATCACTCGGTTTTCTTGGGACAGAGTTATTCAGTAGTTGAGAAATAGCATAACCACTGGTTAAAACATTCACGAGAGCTCTAGATTTAACAGCGACAGTAAGAGAACATGATCCCCATTGAGCAGTCATGTTATGCCAGACTTTGGGGACACAACTATCCCGATTTGATGGGCAAGTAAGATTTGCAAAATGGTTGCAAGTTTTGTCAGAGCCAAGCAGCTAAAGAATGGTAGAGACAGAATTTGAACCCAAATTTGCCAGGCGGTGGTGGTGTGCGCCTTTAATCCCAGCACTGGAGAGGCAGAGGCAGGTGGGTCTTTGAGTTTGAGGCCAGCCTGGTCTATAGAGCGAGTTCCAGGACAGCCAGGGCTACACAGAGAAACCCTGTCTCAAAAGACCAAAACCAACCAAACAAAAAAATTGAACCCAAATCTATCTGACCTCAAAAATAACGTTTTCAACTGCTACGTCATACTATATAGAACCACGAGGAAATAAATGCAGAAACAAAGACAGTTGCATATGTAGTACTAATTCTAGAATTAATTTTAAAAATGCATCCTGGGGCATGGAGAAAATGATCAAAGAGACACAGCAGTGTATTAGTGCGGCTTCTATTCTAGGAGTCAAGTGCTGGGATTGAGTCCCTCTTTGGCTTCTATCTTCTTTTCCCGTTTTTTAAACAAATCCAAATCACTTTCAGTACGCATGAATTAACCGCTCTTTCTAATGCTGTGATATCAATGGGCAGAAAGCCGGGTTAAGAAAGGGCTGCCATGGTTTCTAGGTAAGTGCTGAGGCCCTTGGAAGATGCTGTCGTTGATAAGTGCAAAAGACACCACGCCAGCTGCAGCTGTGACTGTGACCTCAGCACCTGGACCCATGTGAGCAGAGGAGAAGTGGCTGTTCCTCCTGGCTCACCATCTCCCGTCTTCCTCCAGGTGCTTACACCCCAGAGCCCCTCAGCAGTTTCCGGTGGGCTCTTCTCTCCACGGGCCTCATGTTCTTTTACCACTTCAGCATCCTGCAGATCCTCGGCCTGGTAAGTTTGCTTAGATCCCCTTCTCTCCCCTCTGTTTGGAGTTCTTCATAAATCTTGATAATCCTGGTTGGTGCTGTGGTATCATTTTGCTTTGAAAAATGCACAATGCTAAAGGCCAAGATGTCAGATTGTTGTGTCTGGGGTGTTGATTTATGATACAGAGCTTTGGCTTCTCCGGAGAGTTTTCTGAATCCTTCAGCAATGGTTGTTCCTTCATTTCTGGGGATGCAACGGTACCCTTCATTCATGGCTCCTTGGGTCTGAAACAGTGACCTGTAATTAGCAAGTGCTGTGCTGTGGACCTCTTGGGCGTGTACGATCCTTATCCTGATGGCCCTGAGCCTTGTGATGGCCTTTGGTTTTGGGTACATTCTGGAGATGCTCGCAGGTCTTTCAGGAGACCCTTTCTTCAGCAGTGTGGCCAGTGGAAGTGAGAGGTAGGGAGCCCCAGAGCTTTCTGTAGTCTGAGAAGTGCCTGGAATATGGAAACTGGCTAGCCTCAATGTTGAAATATCCAGAGTCCAATAGCGCCGAAAATGCAAGGGTATGTATCAGTGCTGAAGTGAGGAGAGAGAGTTCATGCCTGGGTGTGGGGACGGAGTTTTCTCCCTCCCTGTAGCGAGATACAAAAGCCTAGCTTCCTTGAGAGATGGGGAGGACTTGTCTTTAATGCGAGCAAGCTCTTAAGAGCTCATGAAGGTGGGTGTTCTGGCTGTCCTTGGGGCAGGAACGCCATATTTGGTTTTGCGTGGTTGGCATGCAGGGTTAGCCATTTGGAGCCGTGTGCGGCCTTGCATGATAAGGTCGTGTAACTGGATGTCCCCAGTGCCTCTGGGCAAGTACCCTCTTTGTCTTCCTTGCTCTGGGTTGCCAGAGGTCGGCTGGGTTCTTTGCCAGTAGTGTGTATGCTGCCTGTGCTTATATAGGAAGGCTCAGCATGCTCCTGAGCCGCACACATCCCCTCCTTACGTCCTGCTGCTCCCCACCTAGTTGCTGGTTTCCAGGGGTGTCAGTGTTGCTCACGTCACCATACGTTACCATGTTCTGCTACACCTTCCACCAGCAAAGCTCTCCTCACCCACTCCTCGCCATAACCCTTGTCCATCTTTCATGAGTCCATTCACGTGCCACTCCCCTCACAAAATCTTCCAAATGCTCCTCAGACCTCCTCGTGGCATGTAAAGCTTAGTGGGCACCGTCTAGTTGGAGACCAGACACAGTCAACTGATTGCCCTTGCTACTTGGAGACAGCGACCATGAGGCTAATGGCTCTAAAAAATTAATGCAACCTTTCTGCAGGAGCTAGGCACACGATAAATGCTTAGGAATGACAATGGACTCTGGGCCCAACTGGAGAGCAGGACTGAGCAAAACTGAACAGCTTTCCCCCAGGACAGTGCTATATCCCCCACTAAGAAAGCCTAGGGCAAAGCAGCCCCTTTATGAACAGGTGGGGATTGGTCAATCCCTCCTTGTCCAGTCGTCCCTAGGGAGGAGAGATGGCTGAACTGGCGGTAGCCGGAGGAAGCCTCGGGATGGCGAACGCTCACTCTACCTCCCTTGTCCCTGCAGGTCACCGAAGTGAATTTGAACAACATGCTGTGTCCGGCCATCTCAGACCCATTCTACGGCCCCTGGTATCGCATCTGGGCCTCGGGACACCAGACTCTCATGACCATGACCCACGGGAAGCTGGTCATCCTGTTCTCATACATGGCTGGGCCCTTGTGTAAATATCTGCTGGATTTGTTCCGGCTTCCAGCCAAGAAAATAGACTGAAGGTGCTTGGGGTTTTGTTTTGTTTTATTTTGTTTGTTTTTTTTTGTTTTTGTTTTTTGTTTTGTTTTGTTTTGTTTCTCCCTGAGGAATCAAGTCCTGACTTGACTCAGAGAATATCCAGTTTTTGACAGACTCATTGGTGAGGGCAATAGGATACTTGGTGAATTTCTTTTTTTCTTCCTCTTTGTCCCTTTCTTCCACAACTCTTCCCTCCTCAGCTCCTCCCCATGAATGGCTCTTCGTGCCTGGAATAGTGCTGGGGGCTGGAACTTACTTCCTTTCATCCCCTGGCCTCTGGGTCCCTACTGTGTGCCCCATCCCTGTGCTTGGCCTTACCAAGAGAAATGGTAGTCAGTGCCCTTTACATTGTTTGTCGGTGCTTTTTAACAACAGCTAGTTGAAGAAGCGGGGAGCAGCAAGTGGTAGTTCCCCCAGCACCCCAGCAATGAAACAGTGTTCCAGTCACTTCTCCACTGCCAGGGACCTCCAGGCTCATGCTGGGGTCTCCTTTTACCTCCAGCATAGCCCCCACCAAAAGGGGACCAAGGCCTTGTTTCTATACCAGCTGCAAGCCCAGAGCCGAGGGACTTCCCAGATCACAGCCAAAATATATTCTTCCAGTGACGGGTGTCCCGTGATGTAAAGCAGGGAGCCGCCCAGCCACTCCTTCTAGGGTGCTGCCTGGGGTGGGAGGTGACAGCAGTGTGCAGGCTGAGGGCAAGATTCCACAGTGGGCGGCCAGAGGTCTGTTGCCACAGCAAGTCTGAAGTCAAAAGGGTGAAGGTGTGCACAGTACCAGGCAGGACACCCCCCGGCTCCTGTCCCCCCAAAGAACCTTCCCTGTGAAATATGAGAGCCGATCCACACTCCAATGCAAAGTGAGCAAAGAAATTAAGAAGCCAACTAAGTCGAGTGGCAACTCGAGAAAGCTGTGATCTGAAGCCTAGTCTATGTCATGTGGATAATTAGGCAACACTCTAGTCTCAGCGGCCCCCAACCATCCTCATTGTCTCTGTACATGTCTCTGTTTCTCTTTGTCTGCAGCTGCTTCATGGAAGAGGGAGCTGGAGGCGGGGCTTGGGTGCTGTTTGGCTGTTTCCTATTTGGGATGTTTGAAATGGGGGAACCCTTGCATTTTGGGAAGGTACTCTAGAGCCATTCCTGGCACTTCGAGGACATGTCCACAGCTCCCCAAGGCAGTTTCTTTACGGCTTGATTTCTTTCATGTAGCTAGACTCTGCTTAAGTGTTCAGTGTGGGGAAACATCCTTGGTTTGGCAGCTTGACGATGTCCAAAGCCCATGTGTAGGTTGAAAGGGAACCGCCAATGGATCAGGTTCCCATAGGTAGCGGTTCAAGTGTTCTTTAGGAAGGAACTTTGGTTGAAAGAAAGGTACTTACTCATGTATGGACCACAAAGGACACCAGTGTCTGGACATTGCTGACTCATTGTCAGCTTCTAAATAGGAGGAGATTTGCTTAAGAATAGAGAAAGAAGTTTGTGCTATAACCACCCCATGTCCCGGTTCCGGTTGCAGTATTCAATGTGAGTTTGTGGGTGTTAGGCCTAACCTGAGCTTCAGTGACTCGGTGGCCATGAAACGGACTTGCCAGGGAAGCAGCGGCAGGAGAGTCTCCCTGAGCAGATGGAAACTAAGGGAAGCATCTCTGGGAGGGGTTGCTTGAACATGAGTTGATTGGCTCTGAGGTACAAAAGAAGAACTCCTAGTGTGTTTGTTCCCCTTGAGCTCCTGCCATGCTTCTTCCTCCTCTCACCCTCTCGCTGGTCTCTGGAAGTGCTTCTTCTGTTGCTGTTTTCCTCACCCCCTCAGAGAAGTCTTGGGTGAATAAAATGAGTGAGAGCCTCCCTGGCCCTGGGCCTCTCTATAGAAGAGCATGGAAAGAGGTCATGAATGAAGCTCGATTAATAAAAACTCAGAGACAGAAATTGGGGTTCAGCCTGAGGATCAGAAAAGCAAAGCAGCCAACCACTGGCTCTTACCTCAGTCCAGGTTCTCAGAATGAGACTGTGTCTGAGAGCTACTTCCTCCTGTCTTGTATTCCTCTCTAGTACTGGGATTAAAGGTGTGGGTTACCACTGCCTGGTCTGTAAGGCTGAGCAGTGGGGCTCTTTTACTCTCTGATCTTCAGGGAAGCTTTATTTATTAAAATACAAATGAAATGTTGCTACACATGAGGCCTACCATGGCCCTTGCCACAACATATAGCTGCTGCCTGCGGTGATGTAGGGCCTCAGCTGAGGGAGCCAACTCCAGAATGCCACAGAGGTGGGAGTGCCGTACACGCTTCTTCCCCGTCTGGGCACCATGGCCCAGATTGCCAGGCATCTTGGGCTTTCCCTGCATTGGCACGCCTCCAGTAGCTTGCCTCTGCTTTGGCAGCAAATCAACAAACCCATTTCTGGTAGGCATTTTCTGGCACTCAGAGGGAGAGAAGAAACTCAAAGCCATGCTGCCTGGCTCGGCCAGGCCAGAGTCAGACACACCTATCAAGAAGGAGGAAGTAAAGCAGAGATGCAGGGCCCTAGGTTGGCTCATAGGTACAGAAATTAAAATAAACAGTTTGTGGCTCTTTCAACAGATTCCACAGGGAGTATTGGGTTAGGTTTGAAATGTTGGGGTACAGGGGACCCTTTTCATTGCTTCTCTTACTTTGGTCCAGACCCACATGAAAAGAGGTAACCTACCGAGGCTCTACTGTATGTTGTGGAAGTTGCCCCCAGGTATGTCCAACAGCCTTCCTGACAGTAGAGACTGTTAACCAGAGACAAAGGAGAAGACAGTTGGGACTGACTCTACAGTGCCTCCTCAGGCTTTTCTTGTCCCTGTGAAGGCTGTTCCCTAGTTACCTTGGCCGGAGTTCTGTATATCGCCTACCATGCAGTAGCTCCGTGCCTGTGTGAGAGTTCTCATAGAGGGGGCCCGTTTCTTTGAGATTGTCCCAGCAAGAGAGCCTAGTGCATCCTCAAGCCCTCAGCATACATGGGCAAGGAGCTGTGCCACCAAGAACAATTGGCTAAGCCAGAAAATTTGTGGCAGCCACTCTGAGTAACAGAGGTTGTTTTTCCCACTTAAAGCTTCTTCCCGCCCCCAGTATTTGGTTTTGTATATCTAAGTCTTGGCCCAAACATCCTCCCAGAAGCCTAGCAGCAAGCACTTCTGTCCTCCTGGGGTACACTGTAGAGATTGGGAGCCACCACCTCCACCTCTCTAAGTCTGTCTTCTGTCTTCCTGTGGACTACTTTGTACCTGTGGACTTCCAGGGTCTAAGTGGGCTATGTAGGGTCTGTTGTGCACTTTATTCTGTGGTTCTTCCAAGTACCTGTCAGACCTTCGCTTTTGCTGTAGCCTCTGCTGGGGCTTTGCTGTATGTGATCATGGAAGAGTCAGTGTTTTGTGACATAATTACAAGCTTCTCCCAGATAACTCGGTGTTAGCAGGGCTCTACGCAGAAGAACTGGGGTTAGGGAATGCTTTGAGTTGTGTTGAGCCTGGTGTTTGGGAGATGACAAGGGCCCTTTTTAACCCTCCTTCTGCCAAATAGACTTTCCTGGAATTCTGTCACTCGTTTTCTTTGGGAGAGAAGTTTCTGAATGGTTTCTACTGTAAGGGAGGCTTGCGGGGAGGAAAAGGGGGTCTTCCGACACTGTAGGACATGACCCTGCTGCTGGTTTTAGTGAGCCAGGGCCAGGCATCCCAGGCAACTTGGGAAGGCCCAGGACTGGGAAGCCATGTCCTGTGTCTCCCCCCCAACCTCCCCAGCCTTGCCCTCTCTGAGTCCACGAGAAGAGCCAGTCTTCCGCTGGTATATACAACTGCAGGAAGACCACAAGGTACTTGATGTTGCCCTCATCTTGAGACACTTGTGTATACTGATTTGCTACTTGTGGCATTGAACAGACCCCCCACCCCCACTCAATGATAAACAGATCAGAAACAAAAGTCATTTTAAGCAGAAATGATGTTTTGGAAACTCTTGATTTATTTTGGTGTCAATATTATATATGATTTTAAAGCATTCCTGGTTTATTTGATGCAATTTTAGTGAAGAGAACAGGACTGAATGGTGTCCAATTATTTCTTCTGGGACACTGGTGAGCGCCTCTTCCTCCATCCTTCTTCTCCAGCTGGGACTGTCATGTACTGTCACCCTCATGTGCCAGGCTCCCTTGAGAGCCAGTCTCTGAACTCCCTAGATGGCATCGAGCCTCTTCGTGAGGCTGCTTCTAGGGCGCTCTTTACTCCCCCATCTCTAGTCTACCTCCCCTCTTTGGGTGTTTTTGTAATGGGTTTTCTCTGTTTTGTACAACCCCTTTGATTGTACTTAAGTGGTTTCTGCAGCCACCTTTGGAAAGAAATGGTCCTTAATTTGTGTACTTAGCGTTTTTTGAATCTTAGCCTCAGGTGTTCCTGCTGTTGAAGATCCCTGAATGAAAAGGAACCCTCCCCATGGGACTTATTGTTAAAATGTTTTCTTCATTTGCTGTTATTAAAAGATTTATGAGAACTCAGGCGTCCCGGCTTTGCTTCTGAGAACCCTCTCAAGAAGGCTTTGCAAAGTAGACAAAAGGGGTCATTTGCTGGCCTAGTGTGTTATACAGCAGTCACCACCTCCCCCAGCCAGGGCAGCTGGACTCAGCCCAGCTTGGCCCCATGGGCAGAACAGTGACTTGGACTTGATTTCCCATACACTGCCTACTTCCTATCAGGCCGTTGGCTCTAAGGGGAGCTTATCAGTCAGGGACATAGGCTCTCCGGGCCCCATGGTAGGCTAGGCTAGATGGTGAGGTCAGACAATGCGACTTTGGGCCTTGGGAGATGGCTCATTGGGTACAGTGCTTGTAAGATAAGCAAGAGCACCTGTGTTTCAATCACCAGTACACATGCAAAAGCCAAGTGCAACAGCATCAACCTTTAACCCCAGCCCTTGGGGGTGGAGATGGATTCCAGGGCCTTGATGGGTAGCTGGTCTGGCCAATCAGTACAGCCTATGGGTTTAATGGGAAGACTGATCGTTCATCTCTGACCTCTGCACACACATGTGGGTGAGTGTACACACACATATGCACACCACATACACAAGAAAGAATGTAACTTTAAAATATGATGACTTCTGGCCCAGAGCCCCAAATGTCCTTCAAGTAAGTAGTATCCATGTAGGCTCAGACTGTCCCTTGGTGAAGACTCTGAGCAAGGTAATAGTGTCCTTTGGGAACAGCCCAAAGTCCTCTGTCTTTTTTGTTGATGCTGCCACTTCTAGAAGGGGATACATAGTGGCAGTCAGTGCATGTGGATTCCCCTCACCCCCATTGGCCAGGCGTGGGCCCCCTAGGCTGTGTAGTACACAGCACCGTATATAGTCCTAGACTAGAAATAACCAGCTCGGTGATTTCTTCATTGGCTGCTGAGGTTCCCACTCTGTACTGTGTATCCGTACCGGTGGTCAGTGCCTCTCTATGTGTTCCCAAAATACCCCCCCCCCCCCCCCCCCCGGTGCTCTGTAAGTTGACTACCACTGTAGTTTCTACTTCAGTCATCAGCAAGAAGCTGGAAACTAGCGCTGTATGATACCCCTCCTTTGGGCCCCGCTGCCTTTTTGGTTTGTTAGATTGCTAGGGAGACCATGGCTTAGGAACCAAGCTCTCAGACAAAAGGGGGGCGAGGGCTGCAGAGATGACTCTGTAGATGAGAAGAGATTGCTGTGAAAAACATTCTAATCTCTAGAATCGATGGAAAAGCCAGGCTTGCCTAGATGTCCCTGTAAGCCCAGCACTGGTGGGAAGGGGACAAGAAGGCTGCTAGGGCTTCCTGCTCGACCAGTCTAGCTGAAAAAATTAGTGAGCTCCAGCTTCAGCAGACGAGGACGGCCTCAGTCAAAGTCAGTCTGACTCGTCTCTCCAGGTCAGTGTTATGCATAGCATTGAGGTGGCTTGAGTTGCAGGTCAGGGGGGCTTCCAGAAAGGCAGTAGGAGAGCTTGCTCTAGTTGTTAACACCTTCTGTCTTAGCAGACCCTCTAAACTTGATCCTGTGGCTCCTGTGTGTCAGCATCTCACAAGGCAAGTCTCAGTAATAAAGATGGGGCTGCCTTGGCCTATCCTTGCTAGGGTCTAAGGACGGTAGCATGAACCACTGGTCAACTCTTCTGTTTAGCAACTCAATCCTGGCCTCACCTCTGTTCCTGCCATCAGCTGACTCTTGTCCATAACCTCATTTTCCCAGGGGCTTTCAGAGGTGGTACTCACCTGCCCCTGCTCTGTCTAGAGTTTCTTCTTCCTTACCAGTCAGGAGCACAACCTCTTTGCCATTTCAGTTTTTCGCAAAGATCCCAGGCCCTCCTGTATTATGTCTTATGGGAACTCAGGCCTTCCTATGCATTCTTGGACATACTTTAGGTTCAGAGTGTGCCAGAGTGGGCAGGCTCATAAATGCTGTGTATTTATGGCCTGGGAGGTGGTGGCGGGGGTGGGGGTCAGGTAGAGAATGTCAAGCCGAGCCCTGACTCAAGCACATAATTCCAAGCAAACTTTTCTGTGGTTGTTGTTCTTGCTTTAAGCTTCTAGGTTCTGAGTCATCTCTTTGACCTGACAGTCTATACCGGCACTTTTATGAAACCTTTTAAGACATCTAAAAGGCACGAAGAGTAACAGCTAAATCTAACTTAAGAAAGTGAACATTAGCAGTGTAATTGAAGCTCCCCCAGACAGCTAGAAATCATTCCTCCACATTTCCTAGATTCAGAGGAGGTACCTTAGAGGGCCCCTTCTGGGCGTGAGGGATAGGAGGCAGAGTAGTTAGCCTCTGTCGTCCATCACATAGCTTGTCCTCAGAGTAGCCATTAACAGCTACTGGGGCTTTGACTGTTCTCTCCCGCTGTGCTTCTATGTGCCCTGTGTTGTGGAAGTCTGTGGCGGGGGGTGTTGTGTGGAGAAGAGGTGATGTCTTTGTTTTAATGGATTTCTCTCTCTTTTTTTTGGCTCTAAGACATTTTTGGTCCTATCTTCATATCTCTACAAAGCTGAATGTACGTTACGATCAATGACATTTCAACCTCTTTCACTTCCAGTGCGGTAACATAAGAGACATCTTACAACCTAAAGCGCTTCAGAGCCACTTTAAATACTCTCCTTGTTTCTTCCCTTCTTCAAGGAAGTCACTTTCCTGCCACAGAAAACCCCTTTGTGAAAAGTTGTAAACAAACTTTTAGTATGTGACATCATTATCACACTTTGTCCCACCTAGATGTGGTAGTACAGGCCTGAAATCCCAGCACTTGTGATCCGCACACTTGGGATGCTGTGACGGGAAGACTGCAAGTTGGGAGGATGGCCTGGGCTACATAGCAAAGTCCCATGTCAGTGAAAGGACACATAAACCCAACACAGTCTTTCTCTACCAGCATCCATGAAGTCAGACAAGTGTTCTGCTTCCTACCTGAGAGGTTCACTGTGTTGAGCTGTCTCCCAAGGCCGGTGGTTTTGGGGGACACAATGGCAAGGAGGCCAAGTACACCTGCATCAGGAAGACCATTGTGCCTAATGATGGGGAGGGAGCCAGACAAATCAGACTGAGTCAGGTCCAACAGCAATGCTCCTTTCTTTTTTTTTTTTCCTCACTGTCTTTTGTTTTGTTTTGTTTGTTTCCCAACCACAGCCTAGAAAGACAGCTCAGTCTGGTTCCCTGGGGAACTTTGGTTAGTCAGTGCTAGGCATGAGGTGAGCTGGCAGCAGTGGGAGCACAGAGGAGGTAGAGCCTGGCCTGGCCAGAAGCATCTAGGTTGACGTAAGTGGTTGTCTGGCCCACACAGAGGAAAGCAATGATTTCCTGGCTTTCTTAAGGTAGAGGAAGGGGAGCCAGTGGGCCTTTCAAGGAAAATCAACAGTTTGACCTGAGGCAGCTTGAACCCTGGGTATTTCCAATAGCCTGAGCAGTTGCCAACTGCTAAAAGCCTTCACTCAGTTCTGGCTGCCTTGCAAGCTCAGCTTGGTCCATTGTAACCCTCAGGTCATGCTCTTCCAGAAGGAAAAAGGTGTGTCTGCAGCAAACCTGGGATACTTGGAGTCAAGAAACAGCTTTTGGACATTTTCCCCTAGAGGGTTTAGCAAGATCTGATCATCCTGGATTAGAGCTGCCCTCACGTAACTAGGTTAAATTGTTGGCCTACTTAGGCCCCCTCTGCTGTGGCCTCCTTCAAAGCTGATGAGGCCGATTAGGGGGCTATTTCTGAGCACCAGTCATGTACCCACAAGACTGGGAGACTAGAAAGACAATAACTACGGCTGAGGCAGAGTCGGCCTCGCTTGTAGGGAAAGCACTACTGTCAGACACATCTTGAGTCCTGGGAAAAGAGAGTAGCCGTAAGTCAGGGCTGTGGGTATTGATCTTACTAAACCAGACCCACCTATCCATTTGTAGATACAGACTTATAAAACCAGACTAACCAATTCATTTTTTGAAATGGACTTAGTCCTATACCTTTTACCATCTCCATTTATAGAGAGAGATGGTGGGCCATCAACAGGAGGGCTTTGGTGGTAGTCACTAGCCTACACTCAGTAGATTCTCTGCATCTAAACAAGATTGTTTGTCTTAACCTGTCTGAGCCTGAGTTTGGTCATCCACAAGAAAACAGTAACAGTAGGCGCTTCAGAGTGCTATCGTAAGGATATATCGTAGAGTACATAAAACGCCTGGTCCAGGGCCTCGCAGCATATTTTAGGAACTGCTTCTGTCAGCACCAAGTATCACCACTACCATCCGCATCACCACTACCATCCGCATCACCACTACCATCCGCATCACCACTACCATCCGCATCACCACTACCATCGCCACCATGATAGCCACCATCATCTTCATCATGAATGATAAAAAGCTCCGTCTCTGGAACCCAACAAACTTGATTTGAATCCTGGCTTTGCCCCTTTAGGTAGCCATGTACAAGGGACAATTCATGTGAATTTCATTTGGACATTGTAAAATGGGGAAAATAATCAGGCGATTGGAAAATGTATATGGTTCCTAGTTCAGAGGACACATTTAACTGGTGTTGGCTTTTTCTAATTGTTAAAAAGGAATGATCATGAAGAATTTTGCCTAAATGTTTATGATGGTGGGAATGAATAGGCCAAGCAGTGAAACTGGGTAGTGAAACCATTCCATATGTTTTCATTGTGGATACACTTCTCAATGCACAAAGGGCATAAGCATCAAACCCGAAGGATGCATAGTAGCAGCAGTATACCCTCCTGTAAACCATAGACTTTGGCTAATAAGTGTGTGACAGTGAGGTCCAGCCGCTGTAAATGGAATTCTGGCAGGGTGCTGAGAGTAGGGAGGACTGTGAAAAGGGTGGGGAAAGATTCTGTTCATTTTTGCTGCAAAATTAAAAAGTGTTCTAAACAGTAAAGTCTGTTTTAAAGGAAAAATCAGAAAGGAATGATTAGCTAGGTTTTCAATATATAACTAAAAATAACTAAAAAAAATAGAAAAAGGAAACGGGGAAGGAAGCAAAAAAATATACTGCAAAAATTTTACACCTTATCAAACACCAAATAAGGTAGTGACCGGAAGAACTGATGAACAAAGTAAATGGAAGATATATAGAAAGCGTTACACACTGGCAGGATTAAACACTTAATTATCAGTGTGCACTTTAAATCTAAGTGAATGAAATTCACCAACTAAAACACAGAGATTGACAGAATGGATTAAAAACCTTCTGGGACTGGAGAGATTAAGAGTGCTTCTTACTTTTCCAGAAGAGCTAAGTTTGCTTCTTAGTACCCACGTTGGGAGGCTCACAGCCATCTGTAATTTTAGCTCCAAGGGGTCCAACCCTTTCCTCTGTCTTCTGATGGTACCTGCCTCCATGTGGCATACACAGATCCACATACATACACACGGAAGAGCACGCCCATGCAAATAATAACTCCAGTGAAGCCGAAGAGATAGCTACGCTAATATGAAACAATCAATTTTTAAGTAAAAAAAGTTATAAGAAACTAAGTATTCCAGGCGATGGTAGTGCAGTTCTTTAATCCCAGCAATTGGGGGGCAGAGGCAGGTGGATCTCTGTGAGTTCAAGACCAGGTTGGTCTACAGAGCTAGTTCCAGGACAACCAGGGCTACACAGAAAAACCCTGTCTTAAAAAAAACCAATCAACCAACCAATGAGACAAGCAAACAAAAGAAACTGAAGCGCGATTAATAAGAACTCAGGGTCAGAAATTGGGGTTCAGCCTGAAGATCCAAAAAGCAAAACAGTTAGTCACTGGCTCTTACCTCGACCTCAGTCTAAAATGAGAATCCTGCCTCCTGAAATCTCAGAATGAGACTGAGTTTGAGAGCTGTCTTGCCCCATCTTATATTCCTCTCTCGGGCTGGAATCAAAGGCATGCACCACCCAGTTCCTATGGCAACTAGTGTGGCTACTGGAATTAAAGGTTTGTGTTACTTTAATCTGGTCTGTAAGGCTGACCAGCAGGACTGTTTACTCTCAGATCTTTGGACAGTCTTTATTTATTAAAATACATTTGAAATGCCACTACAAGAAACAAAGTATATTTTGTTGATAAGAGGAATAAATAATTGTAAAGATACAGCAATTCAAAACATGTGCATCAAACAGAGCCTCCATCATATAGTTGGATGGTATGTTTCTGCCATAAGTGATTTTTGTCATGGTAAAATACTTGACTTCCATTCTGAATTTGCCTCATGTTTTCATTAGGAAAGAGTGTTAGCTCTTGTCAAATTCCTTCTCTGCCTCTGGTGAGGGGATGATGTTTTTCCCTTGTTCAGTATAAGTCTGAAAGTTTCCTCCTATGATCAGGGAGACCCGTCCAGTATCACACCTCTGCTAGCAACATGGTACTGGGAATCCTAGCCAGAGTAGTTGAGCAGAAGTCTTTGTTCTGTAAGACAGTTTTGTTTGTTTCTACTCTCATGGTTTTTTTTGTGTATATATAGTGTATATATATATGTGTGTGTGTATGTATGTGTGTTTCTGTGTGTATATGTATATATAATATTAGTTTATATATGCATATATATGTAACCTAGAATCACAAATTAGAAAAATGGAGCTTAAACTATGTGACATGTTTCTTTCTTAGACAGACTTAATTCTCTACTTGTACCCATTTTCCTGCAAACAACATGATTTCACTTTTCTCTGTAGCTTAAAGAATTTCATTGTGATACATGCCACACAAAAATATTAATAAAAAGAGGACATGAGGCTGGGAAGGGGATGTGTTGTGGGGGGAGTGGGTAGTTGGGGGAGTAGGTGGAAATGATCAAGATATATCACATACAAAGAATAATGAGAAATGGCTCTATAAAGAAAAAAAGAAGAAAAAACATCTAAATTTGGAAATTAGGAAAAAGCAGGGGCTGGAAAGATGGGGTTTGCCAGCAAAGCACTTATCTCTCAAGCAGGGGGCCTGAGATCCTCAGGGGGGCCTGAGTTCCATCCCTAATACCTGTGTACAAATATCAGGCATGGTGGCACACGCTTAATCTCAGCACTGGGAAAACAGAGACAGGAGATCCCTAGAACTCACTGGTCAGCCAGTTTGACTTACTTGGTGAACAGACCAATGAGAGAGCCTGTATCAAAGGAAGTAGATGGCATTCCTGAGAGAGATACCTGTTGTCCGATGACATGCATGCACATGTGTGTGCGTGCGTATACACGTACAGAAGGAAAAGCAAAACTATATGCAGACAATATTGTTATATTAATATATAAATAAATCCCATAAAACATATCTACTCAATTATGGGAGTCAATACATTCAGCAAGCTCGCAGGATATAAAAACCAGCACATCAAAATTAGTTGTGCTTCTGAATGCCAGGAATAAACAATTTAAAAATGAAGAAGACCCTATTTATGATAGCATCTAAAATATTTTTTCAAAAACATAGGAGTAAATGTAATCAAGGAGGTAAATGATTTGTACATAGTAAACTATAAAATACTGCTCAAATGTGTACATAAATAAAATACTGTGTGCTGGATAATTAGAAAGATTAGAAAAATAGTAAGATGGCAGTGGTCTCCAAAGCTAACTACTGCCCTCATCAAAGTTTCTGTAGCCTGTTTCTCTTTAAAACAGACATGTCAATCCTTAATTTTATATATGGAATCTCAGAGTCTCGAATATTTGAAACAGCACTGAGAAAAGAAAAAATTCTTTGTTTCAAAATTTACTCCAAAGTAGTGTAATCAAGGCTATTTAGTGCCAGGATAAAGATAGACCAGTGGAAAACAATAGAAAAATCAAGAAATAATCCTAAACTTTTATCACCAATTGCTTTTCAACAAACATGCCCAAACCATTCAGTGGAAGAAAATGTCATGTAACTACATGCAAAACAATGAAATTTGAATGGCTACCTCATATTTATACAAAATGAACACATCAGATCCTAAATGTAAAGGCTAAGTCAATCTACAGAGCTATTAGAAGAATACATAGGGAAAGTCTTTAGAACCCTGGTTTGGCAATGAGTTCTTAGGTTTGATAGAAAAAGCACAAAGCAGCAAGTTAAAAACTAATAATTTTTGATAGCGGCTTAATATCCCGTGTATATAAAGAATTCATATAACTTGATAGAAAAAAAATCTCCTCCAGAAAAACAAAACTAAAAAGCATTGTCCAGTTAAGATCTGAGTTAAGACCTTGAAACTTCCTCCAAAGATGCACCCTAGATACACCAATGACCAATAAGCATGCCGAAAGTCATTTGGCCTCCCTAGCCACTAAAGAAATGCAAGCCAGGAGTTCCAGTGTGGCCATGGAGGAGTCTCCGTTCAGGGAACCGGTGTTGGACGCCAAATCTGAGGTCACCTGCCAGCTTGTAGATTTTCAGTGGAAACTGGGCATGGCTGTGAGCTCTGACCGCTGCAGATCCCTCAAGTACCCGTATGTGGCAGTGAAGCTCAAAGTGGCAGATCCTTCTGGCCAAGTAAACACCAAGTCCATCGAAATGACAATCCCACAGTTTCAGAATTTCTACAGACAATTTAAAGAAATTGCCGCTGTCATTGAAACTGTGTGAGGACTGATACCGAAGTAATGGACTCTACCTTCCAGAAAAGAACTGCATATGGATGAAAGATATTTATGCAATGAAAAGTGCACTTCTGGGGCTCAATAGGTGGCTCAGAGGTTAAGAGCAGTGGTTGCTCTCCCAGAGGACTCAAGTTCAATTCCTGGTAACCACATGATAACTCACAACTGCCTGTAACATCAGGACCAGGGAATCCTACACACTCCCACAGACGTCTATGCAGGCAAAGACAAATGGGTAGAAAACTAAAAATTAAAACAATTTCACTTCCCAATTTTTTTTTACCAGTTAAAAAAAAAATTGATAAACTCAAATTTTTCAGTGGTCACCTTTTCAATGAGCTAAAAGTGTCTGTGTCGAATACTAATATGTGTATGTGTAATTATATCTCAACAATGAGTAAATGATACTCTTAAATGCAGCACTCTTAAATGTATATCAGAAATTTTTTAAATCTTATTGATACAGATATAACTTTATGAATAAAATCTTGTATATGAAATTAAAAAAAAAAAAGAAATGCAAGCCATTGTGAAGCTGGCCGTGATGGTGCACATCTGTCAGGGATGTGGGATTGCGGGGTGCATGAGTTCCAGGCTGGCCTCCACTTCAAGTGAGAGCTTGTCTCAAAAAACAAAAGCCAAAATGAGTTGTACAGATATCAGAGGATGGATTTCCACAGAAGAAATGTGTCCTTTGGCTCACAGTTGTACTGGCTCCTTGGTGGCTTGGCCTATTGCACATCATGGTAAGAACCAGTGGTGGACAAAAGTGTGAGCTTCATATTTGCTGGATGCCAAGGCAGCCAGCAAGGAGCTAGGGTCCCAGTATTCCCCTTACGGATGTGCCTGAGTGAATAGACTCCTCCCTCTAGGTCCTCACCTCTTAAATGTTCCACTACTTGTCAATCGTGTCACAGGCTAGGGACTTGGCCTTTGACGCATAGGCCTTTGGGGGCCACTTATCCAAATCATAATATTGAAATGCCATTTCACCTCCACTAAGATGTTTTTAATTTTGAACAAAGGCCTGAATGTATATTTCTGAGACATGAAAACACATGCACTTAGAAACTTGTATAGGACTGTCCATAGCAACACTGTCGCTGAGAGCCAAAAGGTGGAGACATTATGATGGATAAACAAATTGGGTTACATGATACGAAATACTATTCACCCATAAAAAAGAACTGTATCAAGACGTGGGTGGGGGTTGAGGAGTGACTTGTCACTGTTGTGGGATGTGCTTATGGAGTGATGCAAAAGTGTGTGGAAATTGAAAGCCGTGACTGTAAAACACCAAAGACATTGTCACTGAGACTCCCCACGATTAACTGGTTACTTGTATACAATCTGAGTTTTACCTTAATAAAAGCAAATGTCAAATAAAAATAATTAAATCAAGCAGTTTTTTTCACTCCCAAGTGACCTGTGCACTGCTTCTCATAGTACCCTCTGGTATAACCATCCACAAAGCAAAAAGCATGAGCTAGGAGTTCCCATCCTATGCCAGTACAATGTCTATTTGACCTTCTTCAGGGCTGTAGATTCTACTGGAGTAGATGATTACAAATCTCCTGCAAAAGAGGAATCCATTCTATCTGAACAACTGGGCCACCAAATAGCTCTTAAACCTGTCATTCAGGGATGCTATTACTAGACATGCATGGCAAGACAAACAAAACGCAAATTCCCAAGTCACATGGCTTCACTTAACGCTCGTAATGGAGACTGCACACTGTTGTCTTTGATTCTTGTAGAAGCCACCGCTAAGGCCTGTGCCATAGGGTTACAATGCCCTTACGAATCCCTGGAATTCCCTTGGATGTTTGCAGTAGAGAGAGTATTGGGAAATATTTGCACTACTCACACTAGCACTGTTCCTCAAAAAGATGGGCTTTTCAGGGCTGGACAGATAAATCAGTGGTAAAGAGTGTGCCCCAGCACCGATGTTTAGTGGCTTACAACTTCCCAATGCCTGTAACTCCAGCTCAATGGGATCAGCTACCTCTAGCCTCTGTAAGTGTCTGCACGCATGTGCTTGTACGTGTGCACAGGCGTGCATATGTGCATACATGTGCATGCATGCGCGCGCACACACACAAAACTTTTCTTTTTCCATAGGGTTTCCCGCTCTTTCCAGTTCATGCCACTCTCTTTATATTCTGCCAGGCTATGCTTCTGCTAGGCTATGCTTAAGTGGGCACTAGTATGTTCCTTCCAGCGATCTGGTCAGGTCCCTTTTATGTCTTATGCTGAAACCCATAATGTGTATGTACCATTATGGATTATTCCAGAACACCACTTAGGAGGAAATCCAGAATCCACAGAAAGTGACACAAAAATTTCCCGTTTTGAATTCACCTGATAGTCACTCAGTGGCCACCACCCAGCAGCTTTCTCTCTGTTCAAATGGCATTTCCAGAATGGCTGTGCTTCCTGTCTCAAAATAGCCACAACTGAATTGTGCCTCTTTGCCTTTCCTAGGTAGCAGGGGATTCATAAAGTTACCCCGGTTTCCCTTTCCTTATCATTTTACCTTTGTTATTCCTTCTCTCCTGCCCCACGAAGGGGTTTTTGCCTGCTATGGGATTAGCATTCCACAAGGAATCTTGTGTACTTTCATTTGGGGCCCAAAGGCAGCTTCTTGGAGCAAATGGCCGAGACCGTGTTCTCTCTTATCTTTCCCTCTGTCTTGGCGCCAGGAAGGGCCATATGCTTCTCAGAGGGCAGACTCACAGGAAGGAACACAACTTTCAGTTTCCAAATATCTCTGCATGTCCACAAACCTTATTCTTTTTTTTAATTATTTTTATTTATTTATTTAATTTATTTATTAAAGATTTCTGTCTCTTCCCCACCGCCGCCTCCCATTTCCCTCCCCTCCCCCAATCAAGTCCCCCCCAGCCCAAAGAGCAATCAGGGTTCCCTGCCCTGTGGGAAGTCCAAGGACCACCCACCTCCATCCAGGTCTAGTGAGCATCCAAACTGCCTAGGCTCCCACAAAGCAAACCTTGTTCTTGAAAGATCCTAGCAACCTTGCGTATTTCTCATAGGAAACAAGACAGCCACGTGGTGAGGATGAAGGGGGAAAACCCCAGTTTTCCTCACAAAGTGTTTTTGTGCTTCATGTGGAATAGTTTATGGCACGGACATGTTGGAGGGCCAGAAATTAAAATGCCATTTTTCTTAACATCATTCTGAGGGGGAAGCCATTTAGGAACACCCTATGACGACAAGCCACTGCTATCTCAATCCAGTCTGAAGTTTTTGCAGCAAGAACTAACTTGTATGCCCCTCCCACTTCTTAGCCCAGATTATTAATTTGTCTTCACAATTACATGATATTCATTTTGCAACTAAGCAAAGCACCATGGCTCTGAGGCCACAGGCACTCAATAAATATTGATGGATCACATTGAGCCTGACATTTGGGAGGAAAAGGCCCCAAAACGGCAGTCATTTCACCTAATGACGGCTTCCCAGTGGCTCCCAGAATAACAGGCAGTTGGGACTCCAGCAGTCACTTCGAATTGTCCTGTGAGACCCTTGGCTTATTGTAACTGTTCCAGTTATCCGTAAACACCATCTGAACAACACACTTACATGTGTGTTTAAGTATATACTATTTTTAGAATGTAATTTTAAAAAGAACGGAAGAGAACACCTCATATGTTACATCTAGAAGGGCAATAGATGCCCACTGGTGAGTTAGCAGAAGCAAGTTGAGTCATATCAGCTCCGCAGTGGGGGCGATGCTTCTTCCTGCTGGAACTTCTTGAAGCTTTGACAGGTTGTAGCTGTACTGGGCTTTTATGGCTTAGGCTGATATTGGACCCAGTGCTATGAGATCGTATGTATATTATACTGCCTTTACTTTGTGCAAATTAAGGCCTTCTTGCTGTTGCCCAGCCAAACTAAAATACAGAAAGAAATTAAGTCTGGAAGCTAAGTACGACCACCGTCCCTCTCCCCAGTCACAATTGTATTGTCGTTGCTAACACAGCCTTATTGTTCTTAACATTATAAGCAACTGGCATCCATTTGCAGTAGACAGCGATGAAATGCCACTTTATGTTTATTTTTAACACAGTCAAGTGACAACTATGATTTTTTTTTAAAAAAAACTCCTTCTTCCACTCTGAAAGGAGACTGATGGTGGAACAAATTAGCCGCCTTTTCTGACCCAGATGTGTTGGAAAAGGGAGCAAGAGCTCACAGATGCCAGGGCAGTTGACGAGCACAGACACATCAAGGCTCTTGAATGTAGAACTGTATGCAACAAACGTAGACAGCGGGCCATCCATCTCCCTCAGTGGAAATAAGTAATCAGTGGCCAGGACGAAAATCTGCAAGCACAGATCCGCACCTGCCTACAAGAAAGCATATGGTCCCCTCCCATCTCTCAGGGTGGTCCCACTTAACGAGTTCGAGATACACAATACCTGCTGAACACTATTACAGAGCTTCCATCACTGTCGGTAGCTTCAGATACCCATAGCCAACTATAGTCCAAAGGTATTAAATGGAAGATTTCAGAAATAAAGAAGTATTTGTGTTTTCTTATTTATTTCTTTTGCTTTGTGTGGTAGGGTGACACAGGAAATGCCTTTATTTAAGATTCTGGAAAATTAGTGATATGCAGCAATATACAGCTCATGACATCTTGACTAGGCACATGGCTAGACAGGCACATGACTAGGTACTAGCAAAGACCTTATCTTTGTACACAGATGGCTAGAAGCACCACCTCCTATGCCAGCATATTCTAATGATCTAGCATGAATGTCCTTTAAACCCCTTTTTTGCTTGTACTTCAAAAGTCCCTAACATGTCATAGCCAGGCTGGCTGCATAGGCCTCTAATCCCAGCATTCGGTAGGCAGACCCATCTCTGCGTTCCAGGACAGCCAGGCATACAGGAAACTCCTGACTTGACCCCCCCCCCAACTCCCATCCCTAACATGTTGCTAATTTGTGGAGACTACCTTCAGTGCAACCAAGTACTAAAGGCTATTCAGGGATACCCTTACACAGCCCCGTTCTTTGATCTGGAAAATGGGACTTCAGCACCTAGCTCAGCAACAAAGTGAAAATGAGTCTGCTACGCCAACCCTAATCCTAGGGTGGACACAGGCAGGCCTGGTCACTGTATGTGAGACTACTTCACCTTGGAGACATCACCCCCTTGGAACCAACTTCATGGGATTTAGCTCACTAGTTTCTTTTCAATCTGCACTTGGGTCCGAGACAGCCGCACGGCTGGATACCAGTTCCAGAGGATTGGCCACCAAGTCCAGGACAGAAAGCAGTATTTGTGTTTTCAATTGCATTGTGTTCAAGGCAAAATGAGGAAATCTCACCCTGTCCCACTATTCTCTTGTTCAGGATGAGTCTTTGTCCTATGTGTGTATGTATATATATTT